CCTTAGCAACTACCATATTAGTATCCTCTTGAGTCTGGACATGATGGCATATACTTTTAATCCCAGCACTTGGAAGGCAGACACAGGCAGATCTCTGTGACTTTGGGGCAAACCTGTTCTACATATGGAGTTTCAGGCCACCTGGAATCCCCTAGAAAGGGGAGCAGGGGCAGTCTCTGACATGGAGCCTGTTGCCTGCTCTGTGATCACTTCCCCCTGGTGGGGGCATTGCCAGGTAGGGCACAGAGGAGGAGGATGCAAGCAGTCCTAATGAGACTTAATAGTCTGGGGTCAGACGGTAGGGGTGGAGGGCTCCCCATTTCTGAGAAATAGGGGAGGAGAATGGGGGAAGAGGGAAGGAGAATGGGGCCAGAAGGAGACAAGGGAGGGAGCTACAGTTGGGATGTCAAGTGAATATATTATTAAAAAAAAAAAAAAGTCATGCCTGCCTGGAGCTCAGAGCTATAAACAAGGACACTTTCAAGTCTTTGACGTGCTTTGTGAGGAGTGGAGTACTTCAGAGAAAAGAGTTAGGCACCTGGAGGCTGACAGGGTGGGACTGACTTGAGGAAGTTTCTTGCAGGAGATTGTTGGAGCCACCCTGAAGCTACGTAACCCACAGCAGGGGAAGGGGCCCCTTCCAGTAGGGAGGCCATCTTTTCGGGTGCAGCTTCTGATTCTGACCAGGAATCAGGGCTATTACTTTTTTGAAATAGGTATATACAGTGGCTACAGCTCTTTGACCTGCAGTTCCTACCACATTCACTTGAGTTCAGTCACGGGGAGACAGCACAGCAGCAAATAGGATTCAGAATCGTGTCTAGGCTTGTTACAATGATAGGACAGAAGAGCAAGACCTGTCCTTGTCCCCAGGAGACCATGGTTCAGCAGAAAAGATCAGCAGCAACAATAAAATCGGCAGAGCTGGATGGATGAGGCAGAGCTGTGGACAGTTGGCAAACAGAAGTGAGCAGACACTTGTTTACCATCCCAGTCTCTGCAGGCTGAAATGCCAGTGTTAAGACTGGGGACACACACACCATGGGCCTAATGTTCCTACCCCAGCTGGGCTAACAGCCTAGGTGTCCCTGGTGTCCAGAGGCTTGTGGTGAACTGTCAGCCCTTTGGTGCTAATGCAAGTCTATACAGGATAACCATGTTTTGCAGTGTGCTGGGTAAGAGACATTATTTTCCCATAAATCAGTACTTATCTTAAAGGGAGTCTGCTGGTAGTACAGAAATTATTGACATAGCACCACAGAGTCCTCTTTCTTCTTCCTTCCTTCCTTTTTCTTCTAAGACAGGGTTTCTGTATAGCCCTGGCTCTCCTGGAACTTGCTCTATAGACCAGGATGGCCTTGAACTCAGAGATCCACATGCCTATGCCTCCCAAGTACTGGGATGTACTACCACTGCTCAGCTTATCTATCTATCTATCTATCTATCTATCTATCTATCTATCTATCTATCTATCTATCTATTTTAAGACAAGGGTCTCACTATGTAAACCCTGGTCTTCCTGGAACTTGCTATGTAGCAGATCAGGCTGGCTTCAAACTCACAGGGATCCACCTGCCTCTGCCTCCTGGGTGCTGATTAAAGGCAGCACCACTACTCCCTACTTGCTTTTTCTTTCTTAATAAACTTGTCTCTAGAGGGATAGTTAGATCAAAGGTTAAGGGCAGCTGTTGTTCTTGCAAAAAATATGAGTTCAATTCCTTGCACCTATGTGGTGGCTCACAACCATCTGTTAGTGCCAATCACAGGAGGTCCAACACTCTTTTCTGACCTCAGTGGGTACCAGACACCAACTAAGGTGCAAACATATATACAAAATAACAAAATAAATAATCTAAAAAATGTATAAGCTGTCTCCATTTCTCACCATGTGTAATCCTTTGCTCTGGTATGGTAGGTGAATGAAAAATAAAAATAAAAAAGGAAGGACATGGCTCCTACGTATGGTGAAAGAGAAAGTTTATTGTAGATAAAAGGGAAAGCATAGTTAGAGGCAGAGACATCTGGGAGAGTCTAGAGTGAACATGACCAGACAGAGTAGGGACATGTGAGGAGAGAGGGTAGGGGAGAGGGAAATGCCAGACCAAGAGGCCAGGAAGGTAAAGGGTAGACAAAAGGTCCAGGTAACTAAAATAGTTGGATTATATAGGGAAGGGAAGCTAGGGGGAAGGGCAGGTTTGCCCTTGGGCTGGAGAAGTTTAGAGTACGGGCAGGGTTTGCCAGCCATACCCTGTAACAAGTAGGGACTAAGGGATGCAGGAAGAACCTAGGGGCCAGGTCTGCTTTCATGCTAATGGGCACCACAGTTCAACCCAGGTTTGATACCTAACTTCAGGGGCCTGTGAGAACCATGAAAAAAAAAAAAAAAAGAGCAATGTCCTTGAATATACACCAACAAATCTTTCCACCCCATTTTTGTTTAGTGTTCCCAGAGACCTTGAAGGAAAGGCAGGAAGGCCATTCTTTCTTCCTTCCTTCCTTCCTTCCTTCCTTTCTCTCTCTCTCTCTCTCTCTCTCTCTCTCTCTCTCTCTCTCTCTCTTTCTTGTTTTTGGAGACAGGATTTCTCTGTGTAAACCAAGCTGGCCTCAAACTCACAGAGATTCACCTGCCTCTGCCTCCTGAGTGCCGGGATCACAGGCGTGCACCACCGTGCCCAGCATGGTTTGGTTTTTTCGAAGCTTATGTGAGATCTTGCCACATTCGAGTTTTCTTGCCTCTGTATTAGGCTATCTTTAGAATCCCACCTTAAGGTTTTAAAATAACCAATAAAATGATGTTACCATATGTGGAAGACAATGAAGCAAAACCATATAGAGTCCCCTGTGGATCAAAAACTATTTTCCTGAAAAGTCTTAGTGTCCTGTTTCTCTGTTCAGAATCCCACATCACTGCGACCCAAGTTCAAGCGCCCTTTGAATTTAGGCCTGAATTGTTAACATTCTGAACTTAGGGGGCTGGAGAAATGGCTCAGCAGTTAAGAGCACTAGTTGGATCTGGGTTCAATTCCCAGCACCCACATGGCCGCTCACAACTGTCTATAACTCCTGTTCAGGGGATCTGACTCCCTCACACATGAAGGCAAAACACCAGTGAATATAAAATAAAATAAATTAAAAAAAAAAAACAACAACATTCTGAACTTAGATGGGGGCCCAGCACAAGGCATGTTTTCTCGCTTTCCTTCTCTTAATCTCTCTGGATGCTGGCCAATGTCTAATAAGCATGCTTCACCTGATAGCCTGCACTTTCTGTTTCTGTGACCTCTGTTTTAGCGCAAAAGGCTTCTGTTCTCCAAGAAGCTGTAGGAATTTCCAACCTACCGACTGATTTTCTGTTTCTATCAGGGTTTCAGTTGCTGTGACAAAACACTATGACCAAAAAACAAGTTGGGGAGGAAACAGGTTATTGGGCTTGTAACATTATAATTTGGGCTTACAGTATTGTCCACATTATAGTCCATCATTGAAGGAAGTCAGGACAGGAACTCAAACAGGGCAGAAAGCTAGAGGCAGGAGCTGATGCAGAGGCCATGGAGGGGTCCTGCTTACTGGCTTTCTCCCCATGGCTTGTTCAGTCTTTCTTATAGAATCCAAGACCACCAGCCTGGAGATGGCCCCACCCACAACGGGCTGGGGCCCTACAGGCTTACCCGAAGCAAGATTTTATGGAGCCACTTTTTTAAAAATTGAGGTTCCCCCCTCTCAGGTGACTTTAGCTTGCATCAAGTTGACATAAAACTATCTAGTACATGAGCCTGGAGAAGTGGCTCTGTGGTTAAGGGCACTGTCTGCTCTTCCAAAGAACTGGGGTTCATTTCCCAGCACCCACATGATGGCTCACAACTGTCTGTAACTCCAGGTCCAAGGGATCTTTTACCCTCACACCAATGCACATACATAAAATAAAACTATCCGGTACACCCACTCTATTATTTTTCTCTCAACTGTTAATCAAGTTGTCCTCAAGCTTCCTTCCAAGTCCTTTTCTTTTTGTTTTGTTTTCAATACAGGGTTTCTTGTGTAGCCCCGGCTGTCCTGGAACTAATTCTGTAGTCCAGGCTGGCCTCACAGAGAGCTGCCTGTCTCTGCCTCCCCCGTTCTGGCGTAAAAGCCGTGCACCACTACCGCCCAGCTCCAAGCCCGTTTCTAAATTCTTCTGTTAACAAGACTAAGAACACACAAAGGGAACTTCAGTTTCACTGAAAGCAGTATGATCCAGTATGCCCCAAAGAACCAAGAACAGGGTCTCAAAGAGACATCTGTATGGTCATTTTCATGGCAGGGTTACTCCCAGCACCAAAAACCGGAGACCTCCCAAGTGCCCACTGAATGCATAGGAAAATGTGCAATGAAATACTTCTGGAACGGGAGGGAAATTCTGACACATGGTACAATGTGGATGAATGCTACATGAGGCAGCCAGGGGCAAGGGGACAGGCACTGACGGTTCTCAGCGGCTTCAAACCCGCAAGGACAGAAACCGTGGGTGCCCTGGGCTGGGTGTGTGTTTTGGGGGAGGCACGGTAAATTTTATACTGTCTATATTTAACCCCAATGGGGGAAAAAAAAAAAAAAAGAAATGCCTGAGAAAATTTTTTTCTTTCCTCTGGGCAGCACTGGGGATGGAAACCAAGGCTTTCCGCCTGCTAAAAAGTGCTCCACTCCTGAGCTATCTATCTCCAGCCTTTCGGTTTTTATTTGGAGGCAGGATTTTAAGTTGCCCAGGCAGGTCTTGAACTGGCACCCTCCTGCCTCTGCCTCCTGAGAGGCTGGCTGGGATTGCACATTCCACATTTATGTATTTAACTACACCACAAAGGGACTGCGCTGGAGCCGAGTAAGAGAAAGGTCGAAGGGCGGGCGGCTCTAACTTTGGCGTCTGTCAGCGTTTGCGCGTCCGCAGACTGGCCGTGGCCCCGCCTACCTTTCCCCCCACGCACGCGCGTCGCCCGCCGCCGCCAGGGGCCGCTGTGGCACCCGCCCTCACTCGCGCCCAAGATGGCAGTCGCGGCGCTGCTTCGGGGCGCGGCTGCGGGGCGCAGAAGCCCGGCTTGGCGCTGGCGGCCGAGCGGGTTCCCGAGACGCTGCGTGTCCCGTGGCTCCGGCCTTCTCGGGGGCAACCCCGCAGATGGAGGGGCCTGGACCTGCTTCCGGCTGGACGAGCGCGCCTTAGTGCGCGTGCGCGGCCCCGACGCTGCGCCTTTCCTGTTGGGACTGTTGACCAATGAGCTGCCGCTCTCGGGGCCTTCGCCCGGCGCGGCTCAGCCCTCTGCGCGTGCGGCGTATGCCCACTTCCTGAATGTGCAGGGACGCACGCTCTATGACGTCATCTTGTATGGGTGAGCTTGGGCAGCTGGGAGGGGCAATGGCCGTGTTAGTGCGCTAGAACCAGCCCTGTCACTGCAAGGAAACAGAGGTTTTGTTGGGAACAAGCAAAAGAAACTTGTTCGAAGTACTGCCATTTTGTTTTCAGACTCCACTTAACCACAGGGGAAACTAAGTTCAAGGTCCCAGGCTCTAAGGGTGCTGGGGACTTAGTAATAGCTGAAGAGCTTCTCTTGTAAGGAGACAGTTGTCTGACTCCAGCCATCTCAAGGGCAGTTTTTCCATCTTGCTGTCAGGTTCAAACTTAGTTCATGTTCCCAGGCCAGGAACCAACTCCTATCCTGACTGGTGGAGACTCCCATGCCCAACCCTTTATGTCAAAATATGCTATACAACTTCCCTCAGGGTTGCATTTCAGCCCCCGAGTCTGCCCTGTGGCCCCAAACGATCAGAATCATCTTGATTACAATTAATTTTGTGATCTACATTGACCTGATGCTTGAGTTTTGTTGGATCTACACGGACCCCGTGACAGTTTCATTGGTCCTTGGGGCTTTTATTTAGAGAGCCACTCTGCACAGCCACAGATTGTACCAGTGTTCTGAGGATCCAGTTTGTTCCTTACTTCCGGTTCCTCTTTGCCGTTGTCAGCTGTTTGCTTGGTCTCATCGCTTCGGCAGACCTGACCGTGGTTGTAAGTAGCGTTTGCTGGCCAGTCTGGGTGGGCACTGTGTCTACAGCATTGAGTTCCCAGTTGCTCCCCTTTGCAGGACCTACGTCCTGAAGTCTCAGCACCATCTAGCAGGCATGTGTGTTACAGGGTTGAAGTCTCATCTTTCCTGGCCTGTCCCTGGGCTGTCCCTCCTTGACGCCTGCCAAAGTCCAGGCCTGGCTGCCTGTGTGAGCTGCCTCGTGTCTTTCTAAGTTGGGTTTTGGTGAGCGTCTTCAGTAGCCCTGTAGGTGCTCAGAGTAGGACTGCTGTCTGGAGAGCCCTTCCTGAACCCTCGAGGGTGGGCACTCCAGAATGAAAGTGGTCACTGCAAACTGGCAGTCATGACATCATTATCCAGTAATTGTCTGCATTCTGCAGTGGAAATCTAGAGTGTCTGTCTTCAGGTGCTGAAAGGCCATAATGATGTGCCTTCTGTCTATCTATCTATCTATCTATCTATCTATCTATCTATCCATCCATTTATCCCTCTTTTTTTTTTTTTCTTTCATATTACATCACTTAGTGGAATCTCTGAATATAGAACCGAGTCAGCAAATGACAGCCCTTGGGCCAGACCCAGGATGCTGCTTTGGCATATACAGTCCCATAGGAATCTTGCCACACACATTTCTTCCCCTCTGTCTGGAACCCTCAGGCAGTTTTGGGGCTGTGCTGGCTCAGGGCCTCAAGCCAAAACCAGTCACTTCCCTTTGTAAAAAAAAAAACACACAGAGACCCCACACTGGAGGTTTGGATCTGACCATATTTCCAAGATGCCGTCATCTCTCGAGTGTGTTACCAATAGGCAGCTGAGAGTCCCGGGCCAGCAGGAAGTTACTCGAATGTTAGTCTTTCATTCCTCATGGTGGTTGGCAGTGTAGTGGCAGTTGCATGGAAGCAGGAGCATGTGGCTGCCCTCTAGTGTTAAAGACCCTGAGGGCACCCGGTCCTCTAAGTGTTTACAGATCTTGTGCACCCAGTATAGGGGTTCCGCTACTCATGGCAGCAGCTCGTATTTGGACCGAGGAAGGTGGGATTCCTTAGCTGTTAATACCAGCCATTGGCACAGCTCCTCTGCACAGGGTCTTAGACGCTTGGCTCTAAAGGTTTGATTGACAGCTCACTGGAACTCTTCAGTGATCCTGGGCCTGTGGTTTCTCTTCCCTGGTTCTTTGCAATCTTTTATCCTTCTTGAGTCTCAGCTTCCCCCCTCTTGCTGTCTCTCTGTCTGCCACCTTCCTTCCTGCCTGGCTGGACGGCTCAGCTGTTGCTTCAGCTGTCAGGCAGCTGACAGTCTCGCCTTCTCTGCTGCTTGGCTTGTCAGCTGCTCGGCCACCACCACCGCTGTCATTGCCCTGCCTCTTCTGACCTCTGCTGTCTTTGCTGTGCTACTTTCTCTGCTACCAGCCCAACCTATACTACTAGAAGCAAGAAAGGAGCCCTGGGAGAAGCCTGATGCTCCCACACTGGGGTGAAGCTCAGGAGAGTCTCCCCAAAGAGTCACTAAGTGAGCCTGCACAGCCTGTTTGAGTAGCCCCAGAAGGGGTGTTTGGACAAATCACAGACTTGCTTGTCAGCACCTTCACAATGACTGAGGATGGTGTTTTGGACTGTCATAGCCCGTATCTTTAGCAGTAGTTAGAGCAGTTCCTCTTCTAGGCTGCTGGGGAGATGCTATCCATCTGGCCTAGGGTGGAAATGGTTGCCAGATCATCTAGAGTTCACTGACACTTGTGATGGCAAAAAGTCTGATAAAACTGCTGTAAACAACCTTGGTGGAAGGTGTGCTGTTAGCAGGGGCACTCTGCTGCAATTATCTGGCTTTCTCGGGGAATGCAAGAAGGTTTCCAGGTGGCTGCTGCTGGCATAGGGTATTCTGGCTCCCTATTTGACAGTCCTCCTGCTCAGGGAAGCAAGGCAGAGTCCAACAGCTGCCAAGTAGTAAATCGCATCCCCAACATCTTTGCTTATTCATAAGAAAATAAGCCTCGGGGCTGCATGCAAATAGAAGTTTAACTAACTTGGTAGGACTTGGGACTGTCTAGGACACAAATCTTTAGGCATGTCTGTGAGGGAGGTTCTGGGTGTGGGTAACTGAGCTGAGAAGACTAACCCTGAATGAGGGTGGCTCCATCCCATGGCCTGGGATCCTGGAGCGACAAAACGGAGAAAGCGGGCACCAGCATTCGTCTCTCTCTCTGCTACCTGACTTCAGGTGCCAGGGGATGGGTCGCCTCAAGTTCCACCCACCATGCCCGCCTCCTCCTAATGGATGGTATCCCCAAACCGACCTCCAATAAACTGCTCGTTAAGTGGCTTCTTTTCTGATACTTGGTTACAGGTGTGAGAAAAGGGGCTAAGACAAACTCTAGTGGATTTTTGGTTATTATTATTATTATTAAAGGATCTCATGTAGTTCAGGCTGCTCTTGAATTCCCTATGTAGCAATCCTCAACATGTGATCCTCTAGTCTCCATCTCCCAAATACTGGGTTACAGGTGTGCACCCACCATGCGCAGCTAACAATGATTAAAAAACAAAAGAAAACTAAACAACTCCAGATTTTTAAAGTGCTCAATACTGCTCCAGCCTCAGAGACAGGTGACTCCCTTCTGCCTCACGCATTTCTTTCTTTCCCTCCTAAGGCTTTCTATCTGCTACTTTCCTTAATTATCTAGGGCTCTTTGTTTCCGTAACCCACACACTGGCTGCCCCTCCAGTGTGTGGGTCTGTGTCTCGTGAGCACAGACTAAAAGCCGTACCCACAGTGACACGAGACCGTGTCTAGAGTTGCTTCCACATGGGCAGACAATTGAGACGGCCAGCATACAGAGCCATGGCCTCGGATGTGTGGGGCTGCTCTACCGCCTTAGGGACAGGCAGACCTCAATCTCAGGAAACACAGACAGGTGCACAAAGCTCTGTCCTCAGCCACACAAGACGCCTCCAGAGGAGTGTCCACATAGGCAGCTATGTGCGCCAGGGGAACCAACACCAGACAACAGTGTCTGTTTACGCAGGGCTAAGCTCCATGTGGCCCAGGGTACTGTCCTCTGTGTCTCGGTCTTCACGAGTTCCGTGAGCTGGCGGTGGGTAGAAATTCCACCCTGAGCCCATGTCTATCTCCTGCAGACTCCCCCAGTGCACTGAAGAGGCACCAGGCTTTCTCCTAGAGTGTGACAGCTCTGTGCTGGGCGCCTTACAGAAGCACCTCACCGTGTACAAGATCCGTCGGAAGGTCACTGTGGAGCCACACCCGGAGCTCCGTGTGTGGGCTGTGCTCCCCTGTGACCCCCAGACCCCTGAGGCTGCACCACTAGAAGAGAGAGTGGAAGCCACCACCATCCTCACCCGTGACCCTCGGACTGTGCGCATGGGGTGGCGGCTCCTCACCCAGGATGATGATGGCCCAGCCCTGGTGCCCAGGGCACAGCTTGGGGATCTCCAAGATTATCACATGCACCGGTACCAGCAAGGTATGAGCATGGTGGAGAGGGGCAGCTATGCCAGGCTGGTGTTGGGGAGGCAGGTAGACCCCAGGAGGGGTAGAGGGGTTGGCCGGCGGGGCTGGAGTTTATGAACCACAGGCCTGTACTTGTTGCTGGACATGCTATGCTCACTCTCTTGGTTTTTGAACCCCACAGGCATTCCTGAAGGGGTCTGTGACCTGCCCCCAGGGATGGCCCTCCCGCTGGAGTCCAACCTGGTCTTCATGAATGGTGTGAGCTTCACTAAGGGCTGCTACATTGGGCAGGAGCTGACAGCCCGCACCCACCACACAGGTGTCATTCGCAAACGCCTCTTCCCTGTGCGGCTTGAAGGCTCCCTGCCTGCCAGTGGCATCAGCCCTGGCACCTTGGTGGTGGTAACTGCAACAGGCCAGGCAGCGGGCAAGTTCAGGGCCAGCCAGGGACACGTGGGGCTGGCTCTGCTGCGGTCAGAGACGATCAAGGGTCCTCTCCACATCAAGACTTCTGAGAGCCAGCAGGTGGCTGTGACTGCCTTCGTGCCGGACTGGTGGCCCACGGCTGCCAAGTAGCTGGATGCTCTGGAGCTCCAGTGGCCTTAGCGTTGCCAGGTGCCTCTGAGCCTCTGCCCAAGGTCTTCTACTCCATATGCTGCACCCTGTTGGGCTTGAGCATCTCCTCCTGTGGTGGCCTCCTGGAACACTCCGCCTGGGAAAGACCCATGTGTTCCAGCCTCCAGACTGGATGGTGCTTCTTGCAGAGGGTCCTACTCCTGAGGGCTGTCCTCTCCCGAGAAAGTCTATGAATGGGAACAGCATAACCACCCCAATGCCGGGAGAGGGAAAGATCTGAGCTCTCATTTGGACCCGATTTTGAATGAGATTTGATACAGTCCATGGGCCAAGGAGAGGTTGAGGCCTATGTCTAGTGCCAAGTCCCTAGCCTTGTTTCCCCTTGGAGGAAGGTCCACTGTGCGCCTGCACAGTTGCTGGGCCAGGCTTTCTGTTCTCTTGAAACTCATCTCAGGGCAGGGGTTGTATAGGTTGTGTGCAGAGTGGGGAGGTCAGATCCTGTGAGCTGGGGCATGTGTCCCAAGAGCCACAGGGGTCGCATGCCCACTGTCCCAAGGGCTCTTCTCACTTCTCAAAGTGAGCTGCTGCCTTTTCACACTCCCCTGGAAGCCCTAGGAGGGTTGGAGCCCTGGGCTTAGGTCTGTCTGGGAGGAGCTTCTGCCTGGGTAACATTTTTGCTGGTGTGGGATGTCATTAGTAGGAGGTGACTTGCTGCATACTGATGGAGTGCATACCTCTCTCTGAACCACTTTTTCTAACCTTTGTAATGTGAATCAGGGGTCTCGTTGGGAAGCCTAAGGAAGGCCTAGTAAAGTGTGGTCTGCAAACAGCCCCTTTGGACTTCTTGTTTCATTTCATTTCATTTCTGGCAGGTCTGGTAGAAGAGACCCAATGGGACAGCTGTCCCCAGAGATTAAAGAGCACAGCAGATGGAAGCATCCCATCTGGAGTTATGTAGCCCTGGTTGGCCTTGAGGTTGAGATTCTCCTGCCTCAGCTTCATGAGTGCTAGATTGACAGGCATGCATCACCGTGTTTCACAAGATACACCAATGTCTCTCTCCGTCAAAAGATGTATTTTGTCTTTATGTCTGTATGTGTGTGTTTATGGATATATATGTCTAAGTGCATAATGGAAGATAAAAGAGGGTATCGGATTCCCCAGAGCTGGAGTCACAGGTGGTTCTGAGCCGCTGGGCGTGCATGACAGGAACTGAACGTGGATCCCTTTCAAGAGCAGCAAGTATTCTGCTGAAACTTGGGTTTCTCTGTGTAGCCCTGGCTCTCCTGAAACCCACTCTAAACCAGGATGGCTTCGAACTCAAAGGGATCTGCCTGCTTCTGCCTCCCTGAGTGCTGGGCTTACGGGCATGTACCATAGCACCTGGCTCTTGCTTCAAACTCACAGAGATTCTCCTGCCTCTGCCTCCCGAGTGCTGGAATTAACGGAGTGTGCCACTTTGCCCTGGAAGTAAAGGCATGTACCGCTATGCCCGGCCAGATTCAATACATTTATTTCAGCAGAGTTCTATGTTTCATACTGGGCTGGCAGGAAGTGAGGAGGCCCCTGAGCCTAGGCACAGGGAGTGGGTGTCCAGGCTGTAGGATTTAGGTTTAACAGTTTAGCTCTCAACTGTTTTCTATAGTGCCCCCAAGGTAAAGCCACGGGGGGCTGGGGCACAGGTAGGCTGGGAAGGGGGCGCTTGTAAGAGCTGTGACTCTGGAGGCTACCTAGGTCAGGGTTCTAGGTAGACTCTGAACCGAAGTGCAGCTTAGGAGGAGGTATGACATTGGGGTCCCCTGAGTGGATTGGTGACTTGAGGGGGTCCTCCCTCTTAGGTAGGAGGTGAGGGGGCACCCTGAGTGACCTCAGTCCCCATGGTACCGGATGGGTAGTCAGTGCTGGGGACAGGGACCTGGCAGAGACCACGTCAAGGATGGATTCCCTTGGCTCACAGTTTCCGCAGGTTGCAGGTCATCGTGGAGTCCATGACAGTGGGAGTGCAGCAAGTCCCTCACATGGTAAGGCACCAGGAAGCAGAGAAGGGGGATCCAAAGGCAGGTGCAGCCTTCAAAACAGAAGATGGTCTCCACACTCCACAGGTCCCACAGCCTTCCACAGCGTCAGCGGTGGCTGAGGACCACCATGAGGTCAAACATGAGCCTGTGGAGGACGAGTCACATTCAAACCACGCTTGAGGCACATACACGGGCTCTGCAGGTCCCAGCATGACGGACAGACCCCGCCTGGCCTGCTCAGGGTTGCCTGGCCTGGCCTAAGATAGCCTTGTGCCCTGTGGCTGCTTTGTCTCTGGCTGCCTGTCCACTCAGCAGCAGGACTGCAGCTGCGTCGAATGTTGGGGTAAAGAACGGTATCAGCTGTGCTCTGGAAGCCTGTGATTGCTGGGTTCCTGCTGACCCCACCTGGCAGCTTTTAAAATCGACCTCCAAGGATTCCTTTTGGGTTGCAGTCATGTGACTGGCTTTTACCCTTTCAAACCTGGTGGGGAAGTGCCCACACTGAGGTTAGTGCCTCTGTCACACATTCCAGCTTTCAGAAGGAGGCCAGAAAGGTTCTAATGCAGACCTATTGGGTGAGGAAAGGGCATAGTCCCCAAAGAGGCAGGGTGCCGTTTCAGGCCAAGGCAGGCTCACTGTCTGCTCTTGGGATCTTACCGTGTTGGGCTCTTGAATGTATCCATAGCCACACTTGTCACGTGATCCAGGCATTCACATTCTCACAGGGATCTGCATGGACCCCAGTGTAGACACTTGAAAACCCTTAACTGCTTTTCAGTGTGTTCTGTAAAAACTATAAAGCTGTGAAAAACCAACTCACTTAGGGGAAAAAAAAGTATAGCTGTTATTCTGGAGTCCCCCCCCCCCCCCCGCCCCAGACTTCCAAGCCAGGCTTTAGGGAATTCAATTTTAGGATACAGGGTCTCAAAACCCTTGACACCATACCCCAAGGTAACAGCTGTCCTACTCTGCTGAGGTGGTAGGTCAGGAGTGGCCTTGGGAAGGGCCCCTAGAACCTGGGAGGCCAGAAAGGAGGAAGGAGCAGGGTTAAATTTACCTCTGCCAGGGTCACATGGTGTGAGAGGCACAGGTGAGTTAAATGATTTTGGTGGGCTCAAGCTGTAGGGGGTGAGTCCCAATCACTGGCCACCTGGCCAGGAAAAGGTTAAGGCCTGCTTGGCAAAGGGGTGGGGCCAGGCTCTGAGTTATAGCCAGCACTAGGAACTGGCCAGCCTGGGGAGAGCAGCCTTTTCCCAGCCAGGGAAGTTTTGGCTGCCAGAACCTCACAGTATACTGGAAAGATTCCGCTCATGCTCACTAGAATTTTATGAGAACTATCCAGCGGAAAGACAAGTCCACAAGCTTTGAGATAGAGTACCCGAGCACGTCGAATCAGATAAAGATGTGTAATATATTAAAGGCAAAGGATTTACATTTGAGTAAGAGTGGGAGATGGACTAGTGATTAGCAGAGGATGAGGCAGGAGGGAGAGGAGGGAGGGATCAGGTAACAGGTACAAGGTCACAGCAGCTAGGGCAAACACATTCTCTTCTATTAGATGGAAGGGTGACCAGACAATGATACTGGTCATATCATTCAAAATAGCTGGAAGAGCATTGTGGATGTTCTCATCAGAAAGAAATGGTAACCATGTGTGATTGTGTAACCCAACCATCCCGAGTTGATCATCAAAAGAAGTGTACATGCATCAGCCATCACACTGGGCTCCAAAAGACCTGATAATTGGCTGCCAGGTTAAAAGCAAAATATGGGGAAGTGAGGACTACTGACCAGAGGAGGCACATTTGTAAAAAGAGAAGTTCTACGGTGGGATATGGCAAGTGTATGCTTATGTCTCTGGCACAAGGGAGGCTGAGGCAGGAGGATCCGATTTGCAAGGCCAGCAAGGGCTACACAGAGCTTGACTGGGGAAAAAATGCTACCTCTATGAGGAAGCCTATGGGCATGTTTTCTGGAGAACTGGGAGCTGGGGACCATCGAGTCTCAAGAATGATCATCCCAGAGCATAAAGACAGGAGAGTGTGAGCTAGGGTAGCAGTCAAGAAAGACAGCGTGATATAGCATCCAGTGACTTTAGGGTACTTTCAGAAGGATGGGAAGGGGACCTCGGGCAGGGGCATGGTGTAAAATTATATAGTTGTCACATGCTATTGGAGTTTGTTGAAAGCGGGTTCTGGCTGCCAGGAAGGCCCCCTTATCCTAGACTCCAGCATTTTTGTCTCAAGTCCCCCACTCCCAGCTCCTTGTCCCGGGTGCGGTTGTTCCAGTGTCTCTGTGATGGGGAGAAAGGAGAACAGAAAACAGTTACGGACACTAAAAACACACACTTGAAGGAAAGGTAGAGCAGCTCTAGCCAACAGCCACTACTATTTATGTTCTGCGCAGTGGGAGGTCCTCGCACCCCTCCCCAGGGTGCCCTGCTCTTACCCCAGCTCCTACTAACAAAGAGCACGGGGGTAAGCAGCTTCCCCATGGGTTCTTTGCCAAACTCTTCCGTGGGGAAGGTGACTCTGTGAGTGGGCAGTGGGGCAGAGCCAACCAGGCAGTACCACATGGCACAGCTTTGGAGCCGTCTCTTGGGTCCCATTAGCCCTGCCTGGCCACAGTCTCCAGGCTCAGTTTTTGTTGCCTTGATGGCCTGGTTCGGATCAGGACTAGGACATTCTGTGCAGGGACTGAGGTGGTGCCATCTAGTACTGTGAGGACTCTGTCTCGTCAGCGGCCTTGTCACGCTGCTTACTGGTGAGGGCAAAGCAAGTGAAGCAAGCAGGTCACTGAGAAGTAGGAAGCCAATGGAGCACAAGACAGACAGACAGGCTGCAGGGTGGGCGAAGCTCACAGTGAGCCCTGAGCTGTGAATCCCCCATCTCCAAGCAGGATGTGATGAGCTGTTTGTCTGGCTATTTATGGCTATGGCTCCAAGTCTCCACCATAGGCCCCCAGCCAGTCCTGAGACAGGGGGATTGCGGTCCTGGCCTGCAATCCATCACTTCAAGACATATAAGGGTGGTGACAATCTAGCACTCTTGATAATGGCACTGCTGTTCTTCAAGGCCATATTGGAGAGAGTCAAGAATCTCAAGTTGTGTGTGTGTGTGTGTGTGTGTGTATGTATATGTGTACATGTGTATAATATATATGTAGATGTATGTTTATATGCATGCATGCACACATACATATATACATACGCATATACCCTTCCCAAGTTCTGGGATTACAGGCGTGTGCCACTATGCCTGGCTTCAAGTTGTGTATTTTTTAAATTGCAGAGAACATACATGAAACATACACACATGTATAAGAAAGTACCGTGGCACACATGGAGAGGCCAGCAGACAACTTTTAGGGGTTGATTCTTTTCCTCTAATGTGAGTCATGGGGATCAAACTCAGACTGTCAGGCTCTGCAGCAATTTACCCACTGTGTCCCCGCACCTGCCCTTCTTCCTGTTGTGACTAATGCTGCCGTGAATGTGCATGAACTAGTTTTTGCACGGGCCTCGCTAGCTTCTGGTGCTGAGCTTATGTCGAGCAGTTGAATTGATGGGTCAGATCTCGGAACTGTGCCATAAAAAAAAAAAAAAAAAAAGATTTATCTTTACTTCATGCATTTAGGTGTTTTGTCTCCATGTTTGTCTGTGTATCATATCATGCATTGCCCATGTAGCCAGAAGAGGGTAGCAGATTCCCTGGGACAGCTCATGAGCTGCTTTGTGGGTGCCGGGAACTGAGTCAGGGTCATTTGCAAGAGCAGTACGTGCTCTTAGCTGATGAGCCATCTCTTCAGCTCCTGA